TATATATGTTTTTATGTATGCATCTCATATGTACCTACATGTACGTAGGTGTGTACGTATTTAAGAATATATATGTAAGTGAACATGTATATATGATATATATGTATATATATATATATATATCTATTTATATATACGTATATGTATATATGTTCATATATATATATATACATATATATATTTAGCAAAGTAGTTCTTATTCAAATTTCCTATTTTCAACATTCTCGTCCACCTTATATTCGAATTTTTATCTGATTTATTCACACTATCCAACTCTTATGTTCTATACTTCACATCATACCTTATAGCACACGATGGGGGACAACCCAGATGTCCAAAACGACCTGTCGTTTCGTAGCGATTCAGGTGCAAGTAGTGGCTCCAAAGAGCAGAGTACAAAGAACGTGACTGTTGGAGATGTGACAGACATTCCGGTGGGACGTGGGCGTGCAGAAGACACTGAGGATGAGGAGAATGAGCATGACTCACAACCAGGTGAGAGTGTGTGTGTCTGTGGCTGTGATTGAGAACGGCCAGTTATGACGGTGCATGTGTTAATGTGGTGTGTGGTAGTGGCCCCAGAAACCATGTGCTGCTCCTGTAATGGTGTTGCAGCAAACGTTGGCGTACGCTGTGGCGTTGTACTATGTGTGCATGTCTCTGTGCGTATGAGAGTTTGGTGTGCGGTTGTTTTGGCGTATGTGTATGTGTGCGTGTGTGTGTCGGTCTATGTGTAGGTCTGTGTGATGTGAATGCGTATGCGTATGTGCATGCGTATATGTACGTGTATATGTATGTACATTTGTATTTGTATTTGTTCTGTATGTCTATGTCTTTGTTTATGTCTATGTCTATATTCTGTGAATATGTGTGCGTATGTTTTGTGAATATGTATACGTATGTGCACGTGTATATATATTTGTATATGTATGTACATATGTATATGTATTTTTTTTGTGAATGTGTTTGTATACATTCTGTGTATTTAGAGGGTTTAGTCGGATAATTTTCGGATACCCCAATAAATAGTCCGAAGCTACTACGCACAGGTGATATCGTATGCATTATAAGGATGGCTCACAATACTACAGGTGGCTGTTCAACTGTGTGGTTATTTATAGCGTCTCGGTTTTTCTGCTGTGTCCGGCATACAACCAATAATCGTGTGTGTATTATGTATGTACTACGCATGTAGGTAGCATATTCCGAATCGTTCCTAACAAAAAGGTATATTAGCCGAGAACCATACCCAGAGGCAACACTTTCTCCATTGCCTTCAATTCGGCTCATACACCTGTATTGTATATTTAGATCTATTGAAAAAGTACAGGAAACTGAAGCACTGACTAGAGGCCCGGGCCTACATCTCCTCCATCACCTTATATATATTCCGCTCATGCGCCCGTGTTCTATTTTTAGATCTAGAGAAGGAGTACAGGAGCTTAAAACCCTGTCCAGAGGACACCGCCAACATCTTGTCCATTACTTTCTATTCTTGGCTGTCCGATCTGATCAAACGAGGGTCAAAGGGACCGCTTGAGCACCACGACCTATATGCTCTGTCGGAGGAAGAACTGGTGGGCACACTGACTGATACATTCTATGAGCTCTATCCCAGGTGTAGATATGCTCTTATATGTCATGTGTGGTCAAGGTTATATCTCCAGTTATTTATATTTATGTGTTTAATCTGAAGTATAAGTAGAAGTATATATATATATTGTTATATATTGTTATATATTGTTATATTTCATTATATATTGTTATATATTGTTATATATATTGTTATATATATTGCTATATATATTGTTATATATATATATATTGTTATGTATATATATTGTTATATATATGTGTGTATATATATATATTGTTATTTATTGTTATATAGTTATATAGTTATATATATAGTTATATATGTATATCTATATAGTTATATATGTATACATATATATATATATATAAAATCAGGATATATAAATATAAATAGATATATATCTATATATATAATGTA